GAGCCCGTCCTGATGGTGGTGAAGAGGTCTCGAGGTCTCATTAGGAGGCCTGACTTGTGAGAGCTCATGGAGAAGCTGTGGAATACAGTCATGTGTTCATACCTTTAATGTGGCTCTTTCTCTTTTTTTAAGCACTGCACAAATGTGAGACTCTCAAGATAAAAGTGAATTTAACAGCTATTTGTATCCTTTGAGGAACATCAGTACTGGTTGAAAGAGGGTAAAAGACCTTTTTTGTTGAGTCTGGAATGGACCTGCTTTTATTGGAGGACTCTATGACTGCTTTTGTTGCTATTTCCACTGATAGCTTTTACCTGACTTGTTTTCAAAATCCTTGTTGGATTTTTTTTTTTCTGTCTTGAAAAACTGCTTTTCCTTGCTGAAATTCAAGTTTGGGGTCTGGAAAAATGTCCAAAATGATTTTGCAGATGGCTTGCTGTGATATAGAAGTTCCAGAAATAGGACATTCTGTAGGGGAAGTCACCTGTTTATTTCCAGGAGGGTAGACAATTTATTTTAAACAATGCCATTTTCTTTTCAATTATAGACGTTTTTGTGGAAAAAAATTGCAGCAGTCTCTAAGAAAGAGCACGTGACCACAATTAAAGGATGTGCTGTGCTGTATCAGAAGGTAGCATTTAAACCAGGGAAAGTCTGAATATTGGCTATAACTCATTGTAATTATACCATCTATTTCAAACATGTAAATATGTTTGGTAGCACTTACATGTTTATGTCAGCTATTGGGAAAAGACATTTTTCTTTTTGGTAAACTTCTGGTGGTAGGAATTTTGTTACTTGTATTTGAATACGCAACAAACAATTTATACACTGCAAATTTTTATATAATATAAATTTGAGAATATAATTTGTCCCCCTCTCTTATGGTTGTAGGATTTTGCCTGCAGTCAGGTTATTTATGATAATCTAATGAATAGGTAATATTAATAAGCAATGCATTAATTAAGATGTGTATTTCTTAAGAGAACAGACCATGGCAGAGTTGGCGTGGCGCAGCAGTTGAAGGTGAGGCTGGGAATGGAATGAGTGGGAACATATTTCTGGCTCTTCCCATCTGGGATCAATGGCTTTTAGCTCATTTTGAAAGGGCTTTGAGATCCTCACGTTGAGATCCCTCCAGAAGACCTAAAGTCTAACACACAAACCCTGCAAAACCCTGAAGGCTGATTTAACCTGGCACCTGGAGTGAAGCTGTGCCTCTGCTCAAATTGATGAGAAAACTCTCTTTGCTTTTGGAGACTGGGATCCTTCACCAGGGGAAATCATTCTGAGCCTATTTCCCGTCCCTTTGACATTTTCTGTCTTATCAAAAGCCAAAGGAGTAAGGAAGAAGGTTAATGACTAAATTGATAAATAAACAATTAGTTCAAAGCAACAAGACATTTCCAGGAAAATTTTAGAATTTCCTCTGGAAACCAATTAGGAATGTAAACACTGCCACACTTCAATATAAAGGTGACCATCTATATGGTGCTCATTGTGTTACAGGGACTGTGGCTGCCTGGGAAAGAGAAATTGGATTTTCCATGGAAAATTTTCTGTTAGGGGAAAATTGCAGAAGAGGGAGGAAAAATAATTTGGTCATGGTGAACGAAGAAGGGCGTGGCCAAAGTGGTGACTTAGGTAGAGCCCCTCTGACGGTGTGAGGTATGATCTGTGCACTGTCTGGCTCTGGGAGGTCAGGTTTGGGGCAGCATAGCAAAAAGGAAATGTTTAAGGAGTCCCAGGCCAGGAAATCGCTTCTCATGCCAGTGGCTTTGTGAGTGTTGAGCGATGGTGACAGTGGGACACTTCCCTCACGCTCCAAGAACAAGAGAGGGCGTTTGGCCTTCATTTCCAAGGGCTCCACTTTGCCACAGTAATGGTGCATTAACAACAGCTTGATTTTCATTTAATAAATAATAGGAATTACGCTGTGACGCGGCCAAGATTTTAAACAAGAGGCTGCGATAAACATTTTCTGCAGGAATCTGTGATAAACCAAAGATAGCGTTCGACGTACTCGGGGAGAGTGGGGACGCCAGACTTGGACGCTGTCCATCTGCTACGCCATTGAAACAAAACCACTTTATAATAACCACAGAGGAGAGGAAGTGAGGCAGCTTGGCACATACACTTACACTATGTGTGGTGGAAATGTTTATTCTTTATTTCAGAAAGATTTAGTGGGTGTAGAGATAATAGAGCATAGTGCTCACTTGTGTCTTGGGGAAGGAGGGGTGATGGTGTTTGGGTTTTAAGGGAGTCCAGTGTCGGCTCCCATGGGGAATATTTTCCGTAATACCTATTGCAATCTCATGCACTTGGAAGGCAGGAGGAGGCAGAGGAATGAAATGTGCTTTTCAGGAGAGGTCTTGTAAAGGCCCCAGGATTAGTTATCTCTGACAGGAAGGATTTTACAGACTCCAGCAGACAGCAGAGGCAGAATCCTGGCCACTTCGGCACTGGCACGTAGATCCTCGAAGGTCCTGTGCTGGGATGCTTCCCTTGGAGCAGCTTGGAGGGTCTCCTGGCTCCTGCTTTCTCCAGCCTGATGTGCTGAGGCATCACACTGTGACTTGGAAAATAGGGAAGGATCTTCAAAACAAGAGCCAGGAGGGTCATCAGGCCTCTGCACGCCATAGTCCCTCCCCAGCGTCCCTGTCATCGTGGGCTCATTCCCGCTGTGCACACTCAGCTCTGCTGCACCGCCTGTCCTTGGAGCCGCTCAAAATCAAACCCAAAGGACCCTGGGCTGACCTGTGGGGGTGGGAGAGTCCCTGCCAGGGTTTGAGACAGCAAATGTCTAGACTTGGTATGTGAGCAAGCAAGTGAAGGGATGACTAAGTGTCTGAAAGTTTGGACCTCTGGAGAGGAGTCCCTTGGCTCTTCGTTTCTTGGATACAGTTCTGCTTCCTGTGGAGCCATGGAGATGGTAATATTTTTTCTCCCTTCTTTTTTCCCTTTTCAGAAAAGTAAAAAGTATACAGATATGTCTTGGGTGAGAAAAGCAGAAACCTTTGAAAAATTTTGGCAAATCAAGACACATGAAGAACGTGTTGAGTGAAACATTTCAGAGCGACAAAAATCAAAACATCTCACTGCGCCTTCAACCGCTTTAAAACATTTTAATGGTTCGAAAGGAAATTTCAAAATGAAAAGTCGTGTTTTGCTTAAAACACTGGAAAGTGTTTCATTAAAAACGAAGAGTGGAAGCAAAACAATTGCCTTATATATTTTTTTCTCTCCAATGAACCTGATGGGTCTTTCCCCAGCTGGTGCTGAAGTCAGGAGGTGGGACTAGACACATCTTCCAGTGTGTGTTACAAAGGTGCCTGGAGTTGGCATCCTTGGATCTGAGAAAGGGACAACCTGATGAAGCCATTTGCCATGCAAGAAACTCTTGAATCACCATAACTGTTTTATTTATTCATTTTCAAAAGCAAATTTGCAGGCCATCCCAGTCCCAGCGCCATGCCTGCTGACCAGCTGATGCCTACAGAGATCTTTCCAGACACAGGACAGACTCAGATGCCAGGGAATGAATAAAGGGGCTGGGGAAGTCCTTCCTCGCCGGACTCTGTGACATGTAGGTTGGAATGTTGTTCTTGGTGGCCTTGGGAGCTCTGCTGGCTCTTGCTGTGCTGTTTGGGCAGCTGAGAGGCCATCAAGTGTGGGATGTGGCACCGCGGGCCTGCAAAATGTGCTTGGGAGAGAATCACAGAAGCAGTCCTAAATTGGAAGGGACCACAGTGGGTCACCTGGTCCAAGGCTCAGAGAAAGCACCGTGAAGACATGCTGAGATTAAAGGATCTCCCTGGGGGCTACAGTGGCGGGGGAACCCTGCTCATCCCTGGGAGATTTTGGAATAGTGTGGGGAGTGAGAGCCAGAGGGACGGCAGAGGGGCAGCGGGGGACACAGAGACTGCCTGGGGGCACCAGGGGGGCGAGGGGATAAGGGAAGGCCAAGGAGGGATGGCTGGCTAAGGAAAGGTAAAGATGGAGAGGCTGAGAGGAGATGGAGAAAGCTGAAGAGAGATAGAAAAGGCTGAGAGGAGGCAGAAAGGTTGAGGGGAGGTGTGGGGCAGTGGGGAGCCCGAGCAGCAGCCGGCGGGCCGCGGCGCTCCCGAGTGGAGGCGGAAAGGCTGAGGCACCGCTCGGAGGGGCGGGGAGCGGGGCCGAGGCCCGGGCGGGGGCTAAGGGCCTGCGGGGGCCCCGCATGGCCGGGCCCGGCCGCCCCTTCCCCCCGTTCGGCCGCGCTCGGCCGGGCTCGGTCGCTTTAAGGCGCAGGCGGGGCGCGGCCCCGTCCCACCTCTGAACCCGGAGATTGACGGGCGGGCGCGCAGGGGGCGGTGCGGCCTGCGGGCCGGCCCTCCCGCCGCCGCCGCCGCCAATGGGGCCGGGGGGGCGGGCGGCGCCGCTGCCCCTTCCTCCCCCCGCCCCCGGGCTCCTCCGTGCCAGTTTGAGGAGTCCGGAGCCGAACAAAAGCAGGCGGCGAGGGCCGGAGCGGTGCGCGCAGGCCCGGCGCAGGGGGGCCCAGCCAGCCCCGAACGCGGCCCCAGGGTGGGGGAAAGTTTGGAGCCCTCCCCCGGTGCGCGGGGGCTCCGCCGCGCTCCGGCCGCGGTAGCTCCGGCGTTGCCATCGCGGGCGGCCGCCGCTGCCACCGCCTCCTCCTCCTCCTCCCCGGGCGCAGCCCCTGCCCCCGGCCCGCCCGCTGCCTCCCCGGCGCGGGGCTGAGCTGCCCTGCTTTTGGAGTCGCCGCCGTTTCCCCTCCCTTCCCCGGAACCCCCCCCTTTCCCTCCCTCCTCCCTCCCTCCCCCCCCCCCCCCCCCCCCCCCCCCCCAAAGGGGTTTTTTCCCTTTTTTTTTTTTTCCCTCTTTTTTTTTTTCCCCCCCCCCCCCCCCCCCCCCCCCTTCATTTTTCTCCTCCTCCTCTTCCTCCCCGCCGCGGAGCCGGGCGCCAGCGTGAAGGATAAATAAAAAGCGAAGAGGAAGAGGCTGGGGAGGAGGAGGAGGAGGAGGAGGAAGGGGGGGGAGGAAAGAAGAAGAAGAAAGCGAGCAAGAAAAGAAAGCGAGGAGCCAGGCGGCCAGCCCAGCCGCGCCGCTCCCGGCAGCCAGGGCAGGAGGCGGCGGCGGAGCGGGGCCGGCGGCCGGCGATGGATGACCAGCCGCGGCTGATGCACACGCACAGCGGGGTGGGGATGCCGGGGCACCCGGGCCTGTCCCAGCACATGCAGGATGGACCAGGCGGGGCGGAGGGGGAGGCAGGCAGGAAGCAGGACATCGGAGACATCTTACAGCAGATCATGACCATCACGGACCAGAGTTTGGACGAGGCGCAGGCCAGGTGAGAGCGGCGGGGAGCGGTGGGAGGGGGCAGGTGCCGGGAAGTTTCCCCCGCGCCCCGGCCCGGCCTTTGTTGTCCGGGCGGGGGGAGCGCGCCCGGCCGCGGCTCATCGGGGGACGGGGGTCCTGCTGCTCCTGCTGCGGAGAAATGTGCCCAGGGAAGGAGGGAGGGAGAGGAAAAGAAAGAGGACCCCCCCCTTTCTTTTAATACCCCCCCTTTATTATTTCCCATCTTTCTCCCACCTCCCAACTTCGTGGCGGTTTCGAGGGGTCGCCGCGCCCGCAGCCTCCTCCTCCCTCCATCCACAAACTGGGCCTGGCTTTTCCCAGCCTTTTTTGGGGTGGGGGTTTAACTGCGGAGGGTGGTGGGGATTTGGGCTCAGCTCTGGGCTCCTCCGAAAGAGCCACGGAGTGCTGCCCCGCTTTTTAAGGCTGCTAATAATGTCTTTCTTAAGGCCCCTATAGTGGTGTTATTTTTTCAGCGCGTTTCTGCGCTTTGAAGATGCTCATAGAAGCTTAGCCTTTTTTTTCCTTTTTCTCCCTACTTCTTAATTGCAGATGTATTTAAAAAGGGAAAAAAAAAAATAAGAGCCGGTATCCGAATTGCCCTGAGCTTCGGGGAGTACAAACCTAATGCGCACCTTCAAAGGCACTACCAAAAGTTCAGGAAGGGGAGGAAAAAAAACTAACCCTCAAATGAAGGAATTAGAACAAAAAAGTTGCCCTGAATTGCCTGGGTTACACTTGATATTTCTTCTGGGCTGCAAAGCTGCTTAGTGTGTTGTCTTTCCTGCTGATACTTATGGCCTCGGGTTGAAGCAGATTGCTAGAATACATTGTTCCTGGAAAAACGCACCGCACAGCCCCAAAACTCGCTTAAGAACTTGCAGAAGGATAAAAGTAGCCCCCAAACCTCAGCTTCCATGCTCCCTGCCTCCACAGCTTCTCCAGAGTTCCCGCTTACCAAAAAGGCTGGTTGCAGGATTGAACTTACTCATTTTCTTATGTTCTTGCAGGGGCAGAATAGCTGTGAGGAGGAGGAGGAAATCATTCACTTTCTCCCCGGCCAGACCCGGGGCAGTGAGGGGCTCTTCCTTTGGAAAGTTGCAGGAATCGTGTGTGTTCCTGCCTGGATAATTTAGTGTAGTTAATCAAATCAATAAAACCAAAGCAGAACAGAGCTAGGAGAAGGCTTTATGGGTTTGCCTTGCTGGTCTATTTCAGCTGCTTCCTCACAGTACTTTTTTTTTTTTCCTTTTTTTTTTTTTTTTTGTAAAATTATTATTATTTTGAATTCTGAGCTGGCAGACACGCTGTATTTATCAATAACATTTGGCTTTGCATTTCCTCCTTCCATCCTACTATTGCACGGTTGTTTTGCTGCCTCTTTTTTGTTTGGTTTTTTTTTCTTTTTTTTTTTTAATTAAGTTTTGGGAAGATGCAAAGTGCCAGCATTATTTGTGAGAGGGCCCTTACAGCATATGTACGTGATTTGCGTATACCCAAATGTCTGCGCCCATCTGGGTGTGCTGATAAGGGAACGCTGTGGTTCTGCAGGGGTATATACCTTTGAGAGACTTCATCAGATATATAAATCTTTTTAGCATGTTGTGGGTGGTGGGGTAAGTAGTGTGAATGTTTGCCAGATGTTCACATCGTCTTTCGCGTGTAATTTCGGTTGGTAAACAGAAATCCCCGTAACCGGCGCGCGATAGCAACAGCCCTGTGTGCAAACTGAACCCTTGGCTAACCACCCTAAGGCTCCAGAGGAAAAAATTAAATCACACTGTTCCTTTGCCTCAGCGGCCGTGTGGTGGGTTTTAAAACCAGCCAATTAAAGCGCCCCCTCCCCAAAGTCTCTCCTCAAAACCCACAGGAGAACGGTCAGCTCTGGAATAACAGCGGCCGAAAGGAGCGGCGTTGAATAGCATTCCCTCCCCTTCCCAGAAGCAGCCGGCTGTGATTTTTTTAATGTGTTTACTGTCCCAATTGTCAAGAATTAAATTTTAACACCTGCAAATAAGCTGGATGTAAGTAGCATGGAGGCAGAGGAATGGGGTTGTCTCTCCATACGTCTTTTCTGTGCTCCGAGTTGGGCGCTGAAATTCCCTGAACTGACAGCTCTAAGCAGAGGATGTTTCCAGCACTGGGGCAAGGAGGAGTTTATTTCCCCTCTGCCTCACAGATCGAGCCTAATAAAGCACATGGCCTGGTGTAATATTGGAGGTGGGGGACAGGGAGAGCCCAGTGCTGTGTCTATATTGAACAAGACAGTTGATCCGAGCTTGGCTCCCAAAAGCTTGGATCTGGCTTTGCCGTGGAGCATCGCCTGCCTCGTGCCCGCCGTGGAGCTGCTCGGTGGCAAAGGCAATTTTCCAGCCATTCCTAAACTGGTGGCATTCATCTCCCCTGCCTTGGGTTGGTAGGTGGCTGTTTGCAGCACTGGGGGCTCAAACCTGCCCTCCCTGCACCAGCCAGTGTGAATTTGGAAAGTTGTTCTTCTCGGTGACATCCTGAGCTCACCCTCCCCTCTTTTCTTTTCTCTCCAGGAAACATGCTTTAAACTGCCACAGGATGAAGCCGGCGCTTTTTAATGTCTTGTGTGAAATCAAAGAAAAAACAGGTAGGAAATCTGTGCTGTTGGTTCTGTATTGTTTTTCTTTTTGCTCTTTTGGGATTTTATTCCTCCAAGTCTGTGCCCTCCCCTCCCCATGCAGCAGTATTTAAGTGGGGAGAAATAACTCCTTGGTATTTAATGCTTCTGGCAGTGGACTTGCATGATGTGGTTTGTGCCTAGAAGAGAAAATATCATGGTTTAATTTCTATTGTATAGCCCTTCTTTATTTATTGCTTTTTCTGGGAGGAAAAAAAAAATCAACCCCTTTGCAATTTCTGTCGTGCTCTAGTTTCTTCTTTAAGACATGGCACTGCTTAAAAAACAAAATCTGAATGCAGAGTGGGTGTGTGGGAAATAATCCCAACAAAATGAAACTGTGCAGTTTTATTACCATTAGTATTCAGGTAAACACAAAGGTTTCTTACTTTTTTTTTTTTAAAGAAAGGGTTAAAATGCTCTTGTCTGCCAATCATCCAGGCTAGCTCATGTAAGAGCAAGTTGTCAGTTGCCTTTAGTGAAAGTAATATATTAGATTGTTAGTTACTTTAGGGTACTGTTGTTTTATGGCATGGGGTGTTCTCAGGCTTCTTTAGAAGCTAATGGCATGAGAGCGTTGGTTCTGCTGTTTCCCACTTTCCAGACCTCCTACCATGTACTAACACACTTATAACACATCCCAGGGGGGCATTTAAATTTTAAAAGCAACAATTAAAAAATAGCAGTCATCAATCAAGGGTGATCTTAAACAACAGATGCTCAGGGCAGGACATTTAGCAACATGCACCACTTATTTATGTATTTGTTGGAATCTTTTTTTTTTTTTTTTTTTTTTTTTTTTTTTTTTTTTTTTTTTTTTTTTTTGTCTTAAAAGTAAAAAAAAAAAAAAAAGTGGGGGGAATGATGGGAATTCGAGGGGTGGTTCATCTCTCCTGTTGGCTTTCTGAGCTTACCAGAGTTGATCTGTGGGCTTTCCCATGCCGGTGTAGCTGCCTTGTTTTAGCACGCTGCAAAGTACTTGACTTTTCCCCCTGCTTTCCCCCCTCTTTACAACAAGGACTGAAACAGTCAATAATTCATATCTAAGCCATATAAGCAAGGGCATGACATGAATGAAAGTGACAATAAATATGATTGCACACCCAGTTGATATACATTGATAGTTACACATAAAAGGGGAACAGCTTTCAGAAACCTGAACTAGGTTTTATTTTTTTTTTCATTCTTAAAAATATATATATATATTTATATCTCTAAAACCTCCCAGCATGAACAGCTGATTGAAAATACAATTGCTTGACTCTTGCAATATATATAAAATGACTAAGAGGGCCCTTTGTTAAGCGTTGTTTGTGCAGCGTGTAGCCCAGACAAAGCACCTACCGATGGCATTCGGCTCTCCCGAGTCCTCACGGCTGCGGGGCCGCCTCTGACCTTCCCGAGGAGTCCTTCCCTACAGACTTCCCATAATAGCCAGCAATGGGTTTGCTATGGGAACCTCCAAACTGTCCTTATGCTGTAACGTGAGAGAGTCTACGTAGACAGAAACGTTCAGGATTTTACGGCGTTCCCCCACAAAAAAGGGAGCCACTGAGTTCCTTTCCCTCTTCTTTTCTCTTTCTCCTTTAATTCTGTGTGAGCCAAAGAGCCTTTGCCTGTCTCTTCTCCAAGTGTGTTTGATGCTGTATTTGATGCTCCATACGTTGCCTGTGCAGGGACACTTTTTGGCAGGGTGACTGTTTAATCCCAGCTCAGCTTCGCTATCGGCGCAGTGGCAAAGTTAGGGAACGAGGGATCTGCTGGGACCAAAGTTGGTGGGAAAAGCCAGGTGAGCTCAGGGATGCTGTGAGGTTCCAGTGAGCTGGGGAGGGATGAGGAACTGTGTATGGCCACAGTGACGGGGTACAATAATTCCTGTCTGCTAAGGAAAATGGAAAGAGATGGTATAGGGTGAAGCATACTGCTGGAAATAAGGACATCCAGGTGTGAACTGGGCTGGTTTACATTTTTATAAATGCTATTTGTTGGTGTTGTGCCTGGGTTACTTGGCTTACGAGCTTGTGCTGTGGAGGTCTCCAAAGAGGTTGACTCGAGATGGCTTTTGGAGCGTTGTTTATCTATCCTTGGATCTGTTTGCGGTGAATTCTTTCACTTTGCAAATTCAAAGACCTCCTCCCCTCTTCCCCCATCTGCATCCCCAAAAGTCACACTTCATAAGAAAACAAACAGCCAGATGGTTTCAGTTTATTTTTATTATTTTTTTTTAATTATTGCTTTGCGAGCCCAATGCTGGAGGAAGTTTGCCTTGTTTTTTCTGGGGCCGAGGGTACCGCCTGCGTCTGTTTGCTTACCCCTTCCTCGCGGGCAGCGGCGTGAAAGTTGAGCCAACTTCTCACTTCCCACTTTCCATTTAGCTTCCCAGATTTTTGCATGTGTGGCGTTTGAAATCCTGGTGATTGTTTGTGGTCACTGGTGGGTGTTTGAAAGTGCGTGCGTACATCTTCCCCCCGGCGTTATGATGTGCAGAAATGTGCGTTCGGTTACCCCGCTGCCTGATTTAAGTGACTCCAGAGCCTTACAGAGACTTTACCACCATCTCTCGCTACATTATGGCTACTATTTCACAGCGTTAACCTTGTCTTGAGCAAACCCAAAGTGTCCATAAAGTTCTTAGAAAAATAGGTCATCTCTACTGGCCAAAGAGTTACCTTGTGCATTTGGGCTCTTCAGTTATTTTAAAGTATTTATTATCACTTTTAAAAATTATAATGATGAAAAAAAGCTCAAAGGGTTGCCTTTTGTCTGCAGACTTGGGGATTGCTGCTTTTCGGGTGATGTCTGTTTAAAAGTAATAAAAGTTGAGAGGCCTGATCCAGGCAGGAGTATGTAGGGGAGGGAAAAAATTGCCGCTTAAATATACATTGAAGTTGTCAGCGTTCATTTGGTGTGTTTTCACTTGCTGTTGGTCGCTTTGTTGCGAGGGAAGGGGCAGGACTGCCTTCAAATGGCTGGCTGGCTGGCTTTTTGGAATAATAATTATGGAAATGGGAGGCATTGTTGTCCTAAATACAATTGATTCCTCCATCAATAGGGATTGAAATCGGAAATTGCATTCCTGATTTATAAAAAGTTTGAAGGCAGGGATAGGACTCTGTCTTTATGGCTGTGGTTTTTTTTTTTTTTTTCCCCCTTGTTTTTTTCCCTCTCTCAACTTTCTTGAAGGTCATATTTGCATAACAGTTCAGATTGCCCATTCATCCAATAAAGATAGATTTTTTTTCCCTCTTTTTCCCCTTTTTCCTCTTTTTCCCCCTTTTCCCTAATTTTTTCTTTTTCCCTAATTTTTTTTTTTTTTCCCTTGTTTTTTTCCCTCTCTCTTGGTATTTTTTTTTTTTTTAAGCTGTTCTCTGCATGAGCAGAATAGCTAAGCAGAAGAATCAGGCAAGGCGTACGCAGACGTGGGGTCCTTGGATGGCAAACTGGAAAATATCTGCTGTCAAAATGCAGCAGCATCTATTTCAGCTGTGAGCCTTTCCCAACTCCCATCTCGTTCGCGGGGACCGGCGGGGAGAGGCTGAGCACAGGATATATGACCATTTAATCTGATTCCTCCTCCTTAAGAGCTTTTCCCATCGTTTCACTTTCTCTGCTCATTTGGGGGAGGTGAGGGCATCGGGCAAATTCTACTTCTTAAAAAGACCCTGACTTTGCATTTGAAATCCCGCAATTTTTATTTTCTTGCCATCCTCTCCCTCCTGTGTTGAAGGAATTCAGGATGAAAAGAAAAATGTACATAACACCAATGGGGGGGATTTACAAAGTGGAATATTTATAGACAGCACTGATTAGCCGTGCAATTGTTGTTGAATAATGAGTTTGTCTTTTTCTTTTTTCTTTTTTTTTTTTTTTTTTTTTTTGGAGACCCCAATGAACGACAGCAGATTTCTCAGCGTTATGTGAGTTTGTCTTTTTTTTTTTTTTTTTTTTTTTTTTTTTTAATTTTGGAGCATAATAGCTATATAAGGTGCCTCTTAGCTACCTTTCCCTGTGCATTATCTTCACCAAACTTAACTCAAATCAGATCTTCGGAGGAGGCAGGATTTTTCCCCTTCTTCTCTTCCTTAACACCCCTTTGTTCTCTCTAGCTCTGTGTTCAATTAACACCCCCATCGCAGAACTGTAGTCTTTTTTTTTTTTTTAATGTCTGTTACTGTATTTCACTTCTGACACCTCTCTTATTATTCTTGCTTGCTATTTCTCTTTAATATAGCAATTATGATATGGGGTTTCTTTTTCTTCCTCCCTCCCTTCTCTTCCCCACGCCCCAAGTAAAGCCCCACCAGGAGCAGCATGGGGAGAAGAGGGGCAGACGCTGCTGGGGTTTTTGGGGTGTGGGGCAGAGCTTTAAGAGGGGTACATTGGCAAGCCCAGCACCCCTTGGCTCAAGCTTTCCTCTCAGCAGGATGGGGCAGCTTGCTTTCCTTCCCCCAGCCCTTCCCCAGGGTATCAAATCCTGCCCTCCTCCTTATCCTTCGTTTCCACCCGAGGAGGTTTCCCAAGGCGCAGGAGAGAGTTCAACACCCCGATTTGAATTTCAATGCAATTCTTGCACCTAGGGCATCATTCTGCTGCTGCTTCGAAAGAAAGCTCATCAGGAAAGTGCTCAGTGCTCCAGCCCTGCAGGGTCCCTGCTCAGCTTTGGGCAGGTCCAGCCCTCGCCCGGCTGTTCTCCCTCCTGCCCTTTAAAGGGTGGAAGCCTTTGCTTTGATATTTGTTATTACTATATTTTTTTCCTTCCAGTTGAAAGGCTTTGAAGGCAAAAGTGCTTCTCTCTCCATGTCAGGCAGAATCCCTAGTGCAGCTGCCCTGGGGGGAAGTGAAACATTTTGGGAGAGCAGGGCCTCCAGTCCGATCCACACTGCCTGAGGAAGCCTCGCTGTAACTCACAATTAAATTGCTTCCAGAAACCTGATGTCTTCAAGGGAAAGGAGGGGAGGGAATGTGCAAGG